GTATGCAGAACTCGCGCTCTCGCGTGGGACATTCGCGCAATCTATTCAGACGCCGCGCCCTCGACTTTCAGGATTCACGCTCTCGTTTTGGCCTATCTCAAAATTTACGTGTGAATCGTGCTATCGCTGGAGACTCGCGATTCATGCAGGACGCACGCTTTAGCAACCCGCCTGCTCGACCTGGCCGCCTGGGCCCGCCTTCCCGACCCGCCTGTTAAGGTCTACCCGCCAAATCTTCCCGTCTGGTTCTGCCACGTGTGTTCTGCTGCCTGCTACTTATTTTCTCTCTTGTGCTCCACCATTATCCCTCTCCCTTGTCCGTTTCTTCCGCTCGTCCTCTTTTCCCCTGCCGTAGTGGCTGCACGAAGTATACGGTGCAGATAAGAAAGAGATATATACCCCCAAGGGGGTACGATCGAAGACGACGAAGCGGGCGGGTACCGAGGGTTTGGGATATACGTGTTGAATGGCCCGCGGGCAGATACTAGTTATCAGTTTTGAAATGATTGTTATTGTTGTTGTTGTGGTTGTTACTGTCGTTGTCGTCGTTGTCGTTGTCGTTGTCGTTGCCGTTGCCGTTGCCGTTTTCGTTGTCGTTGTTGTTGCTGCTGTTGGTGTTGTTGTTGTTGCTGCTGCTGCTGCTCATGTTGCTGTTGCTGTTATTGTTGTTGTCGTTGTTGAACGTCCACGACTAAATAATAATATTGTTGATTCCCCTCCCTGTGTTTTTCAATTGAACTGCCCTTCCCAGGGCTCGCACCCTGAATTTTACCAGGGGAAGTCTTGGGTTTCAGAATTGGGTTGTTGGCCCCCGTTTTACAACGACAGCGGCTTCCGCCTAATATTTCCTCACAATGTATTCCCACATCGCGCTCTCGCGCGGGACTTCCTCACAATTTATTCAGGAACTGCCTTCTCGCGTGGGACCTCCTCGCGATTTATTCAGACGCCGCGCCCTCGACTCTCAGGAATCATTTTCTCGTTGTGGATGTCCTTACGATTTATTTGGAAATCGCGCTTTCGCTCCAGAGTTCCTCGCGATTCTTGCAGTAATCATGCTTCAGCAACCCGCCTGCTCGACCTGGCCGCCTGGGCCCGCCTTCCCGACCCGCCTGTTAGGGTCTACCCGCCAAATCTGCCCGTCTGGTTCTGCCACGTGTGTTCTGCTCCTAGCCTCCCTCCTGCTACTCTCTCTCGTGCTCCATCCTCCTCCCGCCCCGTTGTTCCTTCATTCCATCCGTCCTCTCTTTTCCTGCCTTAAGGGCTGCACGAAGTACACGTTGCAGGTTAGAAAGATATGTACCCGCAAGTGGGTACGATCGAAGACGCAGACGGCGGTTATCGAGGGTTCGGAATTCTACGTGTTGAATGGCCCGCAAGCAGATAAGAGCAAACAGTCTTAACATGAGTGTTGTTGTTGTTGTTGTTGTTGTTGTTGTTGTCGTCGTCCCCTTCGCGACCCGGTCCGCGATCCACCCGCGACCCACCCACGACCCACCCGCGACTCACCCGCAACCCACCCGCGACCCCGCGACCCACCCGCGACCCACCCGCAACCCACCCGCGAACCGCCCGCGACCCAAGCCCCGATCCACCCCGCGCCCGCCCCCTCCTTCTTATCCGCAATCGGAGATTGAAGGATTTGGCGAAAGTTCCAGGCCGATTTCTGTAGGCGGCCGGGTTCCCGGGTTCCCGGTTCCGGGTTCTTGGGTTCCCGGTTCCGGGTTCCAGGCCGATTTTGGTGGGCGGCGGGGTTCCCACATTCTTGGTCGATCTTTTTTTCGATCTGTCTCCCCATCGATCTCATTACCCGCTTCACTATCGATCTCACTATAGATATCACAATCGACCTCACTATCGATCTCACAATCGATCTCACTATAGATCGCACGAGCGATCTCACGATCGGTTTCATTATCGATCTCGTTGAAACGACTTCACTATCGGTCTCACAATTGATCTTGCAATCGTCCTCACTATCGATTCCATCATCGATCTCACTATCGATCTCACAATCGATCTCAATATCCATATCACTAATCTTCATACTATCCACTGATTGGGTTTTTAGATTATCCACATCTTGGGTTTTTCTCTGGCATAGTATGTATATATTTTTTGTCCTCTAGGTGCCGCCCATCGTTCGGACTTGGACGTCTTTGACGTCGCGAGGTGCCTGGAGCTGCTAAGCTGGCCATCGGTGCTTGCGATTTTGGAGTCACCAGTTGCCTCCCTTCTCATCTTCCTTTTCGGCATGTTCGAGCATGGTGGCGCCCCCTTCTCATCAGTTGGGAAGCTAGGGCTTCTCATCATCGGGACTTCATGCGAGGAAGAACAGCAAAAGTAGCCACCAGTTGCCAGTGAAGTGCGTTTTTCGAATGATTAGCCTGGCGGGGGACCCAATCCTTAGCAGCTTTGTGTAAATTTGGTGATGAAGCCCTACATGCACAGCCTATGTGATGGATGTGCCAAATAGGGTGGGGAGACGCATGCGGACTTTCTAACTGGGGCCGTATGCGGAGCTCCCTCAGGGGCGTGACACGCATGCAAATTTACCCTCTGGGGCCGTAAGTGGGGCTCCTGTGGTGAGGGGTATGCTGAGCTGGACTGAAGCACACATGCATTTGTTTCCGCTAATTAAGGCCGTATGTGGAGCTCCCACATGACGCCCCGATCCTTGTGAGGGATGCGCCTTCGTGGGCGGCGCTGCCAAGCGGACCATGCCCCTGGGGTCGCAGGTTGAGCCACCCAGTCGTGAGGGGTGTGCCGAAACGGTCTGTGTGACTCTCTGTGGTGGAGGGTTTCTCACAAGGGCTTAGGCGACCCGTCCTTCCCCTCCTCCTCCTCCTCCTCCTCCTCCTCCTCCCTCCTTCTCCCTCCTCCTCCTCCTCCTCCTCCTCCTCCTCCTCCCTCCTCCTCCTCCCTCCTCCTCTCCTCCTCCTCCTCCTCCTCCTCCTCCTCCTCCTCCCCCACCTCCTCCTCCTCCCCTCCTCCTCCTCCCTCCTCCTCTCCTCCTCCTCCTCCTCCTCCTCCTCCTCCTCCTCCTCCTCCTCCTCCTCGGGTCGCCTACGGCCCAGGTGGAAACCGTGCAGGTTGTGGGACGCTTTGTGGCTAGGTCGAGGATAAATCCGTGCCAGGGCGTCCCGGAACGCCCTCAAAGCGTTCTGGAACGCTCTGAGAAAGCCGCGGCGCCCGGGACATCCTCCAGAGCCGCTGGATCTCAGATATTTTTTATTTTTATCCTCTCTGGAACGTGTTCTCGTCCTGGGTCAGTCTTAACGGCTGGGCTCGCCTCGAAGTTTTGGTCAGAATGCGCCCTGGGAGAGGTCAGGGGCGTAGCGGTATCGGTACCTTTGGGTATCCCCCTCGGGGCCCATGAGCGCGCTCGTGGTGGAGCCGCGGTCCTCCAGGCGCGTCGCCAGCTGAAGGCCCGTAGCCTTTAGATGAGGTTACAATCGCTCAAGATTGTCAGGTGTTGTTTGTTTTTGTGTAGGGACCAGCTTTCCCTGTTTTTGATTCGCTCGCACCGTGTTCGATTCTGTTCCTTCGTGCTTTTACCTCCTCCCCGTTTTTTTCTTCTGCTGTGGTTGGCCGAAAACCGAGCAATTGGAAACGAAAAAAGCGTCCCCAGCGCTTTCAACATCAACTAAGCCCCAGCCCACGAATTCAAGGGCCTCAGCGTGTGCTGGTGCAGCATCCCGTCGTGCACCGAGGCGAAGACCAGGAAGCTCCAGACGTCGCTTCTCTCTGGCGCTCACACAGCTTCGAGGCGACCTGTCTCCTCCACTGCTGCATTCTTGCCGTAGCCCACGCTATGGACTCGCGCCCGAACTCCGTCCAGGGCAGCGAGCCGCCCGCCAACAGCCTGCGCGCGTTGGGTACGTGCGACCCTGCGCACTTGGGCTATACAGGGCGCCCGCCCCTTAGCTTTGGACAGCCGCTTGACCGCTGCAGCCGGAGCCCCTGCCGCTGGTCCGTAGTCTTCGCCCAGGCTGTTGGTCTCGGTCACCTGCTTGAGATCGCCCTGCGCGATGATGGCCACGAGCGCCTCCCCCAGCTTGTCCGGTGACACCAAGATTTCCTTTTTATACCGTGACGCCAAGACTTTTTTCCAGAGGCCAAGTGGAACACTTAATTGTTTGTTCCTCTCTTGAGGCTCTCTTCGGGGGTCCTCGTGGGGCCCTCTCGGGGCGTCTTGGGCCGTCCTGAGGCCATCTTGGGTGCTATTGACGCCTTTCCGGCGTGTTGGAGATCTTCTTGAGCCATTTTGCAAAGCATTCGGGGCCTTATGGTGGCCACGGAGAGTAGATTTGGAGGCTCCGATGGTCCCAGCGGTGCGTTGGCGAGCTCGTCCCCACCACCCCGCCCCCTTTCTTGGCCCCCGCCCCCCCCCCTCTCACAGGATTTTGGAGCGCAGGGGAGGGGGAAGGGGAGAGGGGGACGGCCGACTGCTTTGCACGCCTTTTCTTCTCCCCCGGCAAGCGGGGGTCGGCGGACTAAGAAGAGGAGCAGTTCAGATGAGAGAATCACTGGGGGGGGTGGCTGACCTCTCCCGTCCCCGCCCACTCCCTAGCTCCTCCTCCTCCTCATTCTCCTCTCCTCCTCATTCTCCTCCTCCTCCTCCTCCTCCTCCTCCTCCTCCTCCCTCTGCGAGCCTATCCCCCCAAACCCCTTCCGACAGCACGCGCCCATCCACCCCCTCGACCCAAGGGGAGGGTGTTATCCCACTCTGAGCAGGAGGAGTTCGGTAGCAAATCATGGGAGCCTTCTATACCCTCGTAACTCCATAGAGTGCACTACTAGCGTCGATTAGCGTCTGATAATCGATGAGATAGTGTTGATGAGCGTCGATTAGCGCCGATTCAGCATCGATTGAGCGTCGATTAGGGTCGACCAGCGTCGATTCGCAAGATACAACACGATGATACAGGAGGCCCCTATGAGTTGCCACAGACGCAGGAGGGGGCTTTCGTCCCCGCGACCGCCCGGGCTGGTTGCAGGCACGCCGCTCATGGCGAACCTGGGTTTTACCACCATCCGGTGCGAGGCTGGCCCGCCTCTGGTGTCGGCGCGGAGGAGATGAGGGCACGGTCGCGCGCTCGTGTTCTGTATGTGTGTGCGTGTGTGTGTGTGTGTGTGTGTGAGTGTGTGTGTGTGTGTGCGTTTGGTGTGTGTGTGTGTGTGTGTGGCGGCGTAGGATCTTCAATTGGGCCTTCTGCGAGCCTCGCGGCGCCTTCCGCGTCTTGTCTGAGACGTCCCTGGTCGTTTTGGTGGCGACCTAGACCTCGGTGCGTACATGCGTACAGGGTACCTCGCGTCTCTGCTTCTGTGATCGGGCGGTACCCTACCAATATGTTGTAATGGCCTCCGGCCAGTGCCGCCGATCCGGGGGTCTCCAGATTCGGTGATCTTGGAGTCGTTGGGGACGCTGTCTGGGAGGGAGGGCGCTCTTGGAGTCGTCAGGGGCGCTTTTTGGAGCTGACGTGCCCTCTGGGGGGTGCCTGGAGCGGTCTCGGGGGTGGTCCGGGGAGGGTTCCGAGGGGAGGGTCTTGGGGGCGGTAGTGGCTAGATCTGAGGGGGGTCCATGGGACCCCCCGAAACATCTTGGGGATGCGCAAATCATTAAGAAAACGCCAGATGGGGACTGCACCCCCCGCCTTTCCCCCCCTTCCCCGGGGGGGTCCGGAGAGGGTTCCGAGGGGAAAGTCCTGGGGGGTGTCCCTGGTACCCCCCGAAACATTTTGGGGATGTGCAAATCACTAAGAAAACTCCAGATGGAGGACCCCCTCCCCCTCCCCCCCTTCCCCGGCAGAGCCACCCTGGCGACCCCCCCAAGCAGAGCTGAAGCTCTTGCTTAGGCTCAGAGCTGAAGCTCATGCTGAGGCTCCTTGTAATTAGTTCACACGCCCGATCGGCGGATTCTGGTCGGCGCCTCCCCGTCGGCCAGCCTGGGCGTGTCACCGGCTTTGGCTTGTTTTGGTGGCGCATGCTGTGCTGTCACCACATCCAGCACTTCACCCATTTATGCTAATGCATCGGGCGGTGCCGGTTCATGATTTCGCACCCTGCCCATCAGTTTCGCCAGGTGGTAGCTTCTTCAGTGCTACTTTTTCTTTGGCTGGTCTAGCAGGTTCACAGGTTTTTGTCTTTTGTCTGCGCTGTCTAGCATCGCTCCGATGATTCAGTGACATTCATTAGCATCAGGCTGCTACTGGCGCTTAAACTCGTTCGAGTCGAGTTTACAGTTCCTCGATTCATTGGCCGCTGCACTTTGCCTTTGCAGCGCCACACAATTTTCACTACCTTTCTGCACTGCATTGAGTGGGCGTTTTCATCATGGCGCGTTCGGCAAAGTTCGTTCGCGATTGCAACCTCCACCTGCCGATCGCGCCTGAGGCCCTTCTGCGCCGCTGACTTAAAAGTGTGTTTGTGTGTTTGTTTGGGCGTTGCCGGTTCGTAGGTTCGCTCCTTGCCCATCAATTTCGCCAGGCCGTAGCTTCTTCAGTGCAATTTGTTCTTCAGGGATATTTGTTCTTTGGCTGGTCTGGCAGGTTTGCAGTTTGGTTTTATTGTTTTGTGTCTTCGCTGTCCAACATCGCTCCGATGATTCAGTGACATTAAGAGCCCGTTCCTTTATTGCTTGGGGCATGACGGGCGTCATGGCCCCCGCCCCCCACCCCCCCTATGACGCAATGCTCCCCCCCCAGTGCGCTCCGGCCACTGCCGCCGTGGGTTTTGGGATGCGCGTAGGTGTCCGCGTAGGAGTCATCATAGGAGTTTGGTCCGCAGTCGTCGTCGTCGTCGTCGTCGTCGTCGTCGTCGTCGTCGTCGTCGTCGTCGTCCTCGCTCGTGGATTGTCGCTCGTCGCTCATAGTCGTCGTGCGCGCGGACGCGGTTGAAGCCTGTTTTTTATTCCGGGCCGATGACGGCAATCATCCAGGGGGTGGTGGAGGGGGTCCATGTCGTCACGTTTTGCGCCGGCGGCGTCTGGGAATGCCTAGGAATGACGGAGGACGGTTTGCGCCAGCATGTAAATGGCGATTTGCACCACAACGCCTCTGTGCACCGCGCCTGTGTACACCACACTTCCTATGTACACCACAGCAGCCGCGTGCAACACAGCGTCAGTTTGTGCCACCGTACCTGGGGGCACAATCTTGTGTTCACCACAGCGCTTGCGTTCACCACATCAGCCATGTGCAACACAGCAGCAGTGTACACCACAATGCCAGCGTGCATTGCAATGCCTGTGTGCACCACAGCAACCGTGTGGAACACAGTACCACTGTTGTATATATATATATATATATGTATACATATAGAATGTTTTAGCAAATCCTTCTGACAAAATGGAGCGATTGTGGATTCCACAGAAAACAATAGAAACCAATCCTGATGGACAGCGGAACGCCGCTGGAATCTACGAATCCTCCCGACTCCGCCCGCATTATTCTAACTCCTCCCATCTGCGTCCAGGAGACTCCAACTAAATTGGCCGTCCGAGAAACAAATGGACCGATTCAATAGATCATTCTGCGGTGCGCCTTGAGATGCGCACTTGCGTTGTAGCGCTAACCCGCACGACAAGGGGGTCAGGAAGAGGAGGAGGAGGAGGAGGGGGAGGAGGAGGAGGAGGAGGAGGAGGAGGAGGAGGAGGAGGCGGAGGAGGAGGAGGAGGAAGAGGAGGAGGAGGAGGACGAGGAGGAGGAGGAGGAGGTGGAGGAGGAGGAGGAGGAGGAGGAGGAGGGAGGAGGGAAAAACGTCGCATTCGATTATCAGCACTTTCCTGGCGTGGCGTCTGGTTGTCCGCAGCAGATCCTCGCGTACATGCTCCTTTTACTTGTCCTATGCACGTAGGCGTTGTGGTGTACACTAGCGTTGCGTTGCACGCGGATGCTGTGGTGTAGACGCGCGCTGTGGCGTGCACGGGCGCTGCGGTACACACAAGCATTGTGGTGTACACAGGCGCTGTGTTGCACATGGTAGCTGCGCTGTGCACGTGTACACTGGCGCTGTAGGATACGCAAGCACAGTGGTGTACACAGGCGCTGCGTTGCATACGCTTGTTGCGGTGTACGCACGCGCTGTGGTGTACACGCGCGTTGTGGTGCATGCGGTGCATGCGAGCGTTGTGGTGTATTTGGCCCAGATTAGTAGGTCGACCCTGCCAGATCAAGGGTACCCTCGTGTCCTGTGTCTCGCGACCCATGCGTCTTGCATTTTTGTGGCACCGTGGCCTCCGGAACGGTCATGTGTCCTCTCGCGTGTCTTCTCCATTCAAGTCCGACTGAGCACAGGCGCAATGGAGCATATCGCCACCTACATGCTGCTCGCGTCGTCGTCGTCGTCGTCGTCGTCGCTCGTCGTTCGTCGCTCGTCGCGTCGCGCGCGCGGGCGCGGCTGCGGTGCCGGAGCCACACGGCGGGGGGGGGTTACGTCATACCCCCTTCGCTCCCCCCCCCCCCTATGACGTCCGTCATTACCAAACAAAAAGAAACGCGCTCTAATTCGTAGCAGACTCCTGCTGGCGCTTGAACTTCTTCGGCTCGAATTTTCAATTCCTCGATTTGTTGGCCGGTGCATTTTGCCTTTGCAGCGCTTCACAATGTTCACCACCTTTCTGTATTGCCTTGACATGACGTTTTCATCATGGCGCGTTCGGCTAAGTTCGTTCGCGATTGGCACCTCCACTTGCCGACCGCGCCTGGAGCCCCTGTGCGCCGTTGACTCAAGTGTCTGTGTGTGTGTGTTTGTTTGCGTGTGTGTGTGTGTGTGTGTGTGTGGGTTTGTGTGTGTGTGTGTGTGTGTCAGTGTGTATGTGTGTGTGTGTGTGTGTGTTGGGACAAGACGGTAATTTGTGACGGGAAGCGGGATGGTCCTCCCCCCTCCTCCTCCGTTTTCTCCTCCCCCTTCTCCTCCTACATCTCCTCCTCCTCCTCCTCCATTTCTTCCTCCTCTCCCTACCTCCTGCTGAGGAGCGGGCGGCTGGATAATGATGATGATGATGATGATGATGATGATGATGATGATGATGATGATGATGATGATGATGATGATGATGATGATGATGATGATGGTGATGATGATGCTATTGATGATGACGAGGAGGAGGAGCCGGAGCAGGAGGAGGAGGAGGAGGAGGAGGAAGAGGGGGAGGAGGAGGAGGAGGAGGAGGAAGAATAGTAGGAGGAGGAGGAATAGGAGGAATAGGAGGAGAAGGAGGAAGAGGAGGACGAGGCGGAAAAGGAGGTAGGAGGAGTAGGATGAAGAGGATGACGATGAGCAGGAGGGGGAGGAGGAGGAGGAGCAAAAAGAAAATAAGCAGACAAAGATGATGCTGATGATGATGATGATGATGATGATGATGATGATGATGATGATGATGATGATGCTGATGATGCTGATGATGATGATGATGATGAGGAGGAGGAGGAGGGAGGAGGAGGGCAGAAGGGCAGGAGGAGGGGGAGGAGGAGGGGGAGGAGAAGTGGGAGGAGGAGGAGGAGGAGGAGGAGGAGGAGGAGGAGGTAGGAGGGAGGAGGAGGAGGAGGAGGAGAAGGAGGAGGAGGGGGAGGAGGAGGAGGAAGAGGAGGAGGAGGAGGACCAGTATGATGACATGATACCCGATGGAGGATGGGTAACCAGGAGGATGAGGTCGATGATAACGACAAGGAGGTCGGGGCCCCTTCCAGAGGTGCGGAACGCGGAAAGAGGATGATGATGGTGATGATGGTGGTGATGACGTTGATGTTGCTGCTGATGATGTTGTTGATGATGCTGCTGCTGCTGATGAGTATGGTGCTGGTGGTGGCGGTGATGATGCTGATGATGTTGATGATGCTGCTGATGATGTTGATGATGCTGCTGCTGATGATTATGATGCTGGTGGTGGCGGTGATGATGCTGATGATGTTGATGATGCTGCTGATGATGTTGATGATGCTGCTGCTGATGATTATGATGGTGGTGGCGGTGATGATGATGCTGATGATGTTGATGACGGTGCTGTTGATGATGATTTCGGTGATGATTATGCCGCTTTTGCTGATGATGATGATGATCATGGTGGTGGTAGTGGTGGTGATGATGCTGCTGCTGCTGCGCATGATGCTGCTGCTGATGATGATGATGACGACGATCATGGTGGTTATGGTGATGCTGCTGATGATTATGATGCTGGTGTTGATGATGATGATGCTGATGATGCTGATGATGATGCTGATGATGATGGCGATGCTGTTGACCATGATGATTCTGATGGTTTGATGATGCTGCTGGTGATGATGCTGATGCTGATACTGCTGCATCTGCTGCTGTTGATGATGATGACGATGATGCTGATCCTGTTGATGATGTTGATGAGGCTGTGATGAAGATGGAAGCGGTGGTGATGATGATGCTGATGATGATGCTGTTGATGATGATGCTGCTGCTGCTGTTGACGATGCTGCTGCTGATGATTCTGATGGTGGTGGTGATGATAATGATGATGCTGCTGCTGCTGATGCTGCTGATGCTGACGCTGTTGATAATGGTGGTGATGATGGTGATGGTGATTATCATGATGCTGCTGCTGATGATAATGATGACGAGGAGGAAGAGGATGATAATGATCATGCTGCTGATGATGATACTGATGATCATGCTGATGATGATAATGAATCTGATGCTGCTGATGCTGATGCTGATGCTGATGCTGATGCAGATGATGATGAGATGATGATGATGATGATGATGATGATGATGATGATGATGAAACTGATGATGATGATGATGATGATGATGATGATGATGATGATGATGATGATGATGATGATGATGCTGATGATGATGATGATGATGATGATGCTGCTGTGATGCTGTGATGCTGCTGCTGCTGATGATGCTGATGATGCTGATGATGATGATGAGGAGGAGGAGGAGGAGGAGAAGGAGGAGGAGGAGGAGGAGGATAACGAGGAGGGGAAGAGGACTGCTTTGTCACAGTCGGACGGGCCAGGACAAGATAAATCCGCTCCAAAGCGTTCCGGAACGCTCTCAGAGCGTGCTGGAGCGCTCTGAGAGGGCCCAGGCGCCCGAGACATCCTCCAGAGCCGCCGCACCTGAGAGAATTCCGGTTTTCGGCCGCCTACAGGGGCGGGCAGGGGGAGGGGGGAAGGAACCTCCTTCTAAGAAGCCTTCTCTGTGCCCCTACTCCCCTCTGCGCGCCGCGAAGAGTTGTCCTCATCCGATTTTACTCTCGTCCTGGCTTCGTCTTACAGAGCCTCCGCGCCATCCAACGCACACCGGGGTCAGCCAACGGGGGTGTGAGTGCCAGGGGGAGGGGTTGGATACCACGGCGGGGGCGATGATATCGCCCCAGATCTCATGGCCCCTCTTTGGCCCCAGTTCGTCCCTTGGCCTCCCTCGGGGCCGCGCACGGGCCCCGCCCCCCCCTCTGGGACGCACTGCTCTCGGCCGCCCCCGAACAGGCCCTTTGTCAGGCTGTCGCAAGCATGGATCAAGGGGGCGTGGGTTGGCGACGGGTCCCGCTTGCATGGTGATCATTTTTTATTCATTGCTTTGCCGATCGGCGCGGGCCCCCCTCCCCCCCCTCCCACCCCCAATGGAGTAGATCTTGGCTGATTTTGACACGGGTAGAGTCTCCCCCATTGGACGCACGGTCCCAAACAGTCGCACTAAGCAGAGGTCCGGAGCCAGACCCTCCCCCTCCCCACCCTTCCCGCCCAAAGTCGAAACGCCGAATACAAAAAATGCTCACAAACATGGATCAAGGGGGCGTGGATTAGCGACGGGTCCCGTTCCCATGGGGAATCGCGGACTTCCACCGCCGAGCGAGGCGGCACCGGCCACATTTTGGGGAGGGCACTTCCCTCGATCCATGTTTGCGCGCCCCCGAGTAATGGATGCTTCTCGTTGTCGCACTCTCCCCAGCGGCCGCCAGCGAAGCCCCTTGCCGCCAGCTGCAGATTACACAGTGGCACCCAGTCCTCGACGGGCCCCTGTCTGGGCCCAGCATCAGTTTTTGGAGTCTGGAGCCCCTGGCCTATAGTGAAAAAAATCGGAGCAACTTTTAGCGTCGCAGCCACGCGCGCAGCAGCGCGGCGGAGTCGGGCAAGCGGCCAGAAGTCGGAGGAAGGAGCGCGCGCGTGGCGGGCCCAGGCAGGGTCCACCCACGGGGGGCCGCGCCGCGCGGCCCACGGGCTGGCCAGCCGCTATGCAGCAAACCTGTTTTGCTT